ACTCCTTGGAGCTCGTATCCTCACTCTTGGGGGTGAGCCATGGTTGTTGAGTTTCACCTTTCCTTTTTCCTCGTAGGTGAGTCGCTTCTCCATTTGAGTAGATCTGGAGTGGTGAAGGTTACTTGACAGAAGATAGCTGGTGCTTAAGCTTGTGATGGTGAGTGTATGGAGATTTTCAGCTAAGTAGGAGCTTGAGATGTTGAGTAGTCCTCTTTGTTCCTTCAGGTAGCTGGTTCGCAGGTGAAGCTATGGCATCCTTGTGGTGAGCATGTAGCTGTGTGTCCATTCATCTTTCCCGGCTCACTGTAGGAGGCGAGGTTCCGGTTGACCTGGGGTCACCGTCGGCCTGCCTGGGTTGCCGGAAAAACCTTGGTTGTAGCTTTTCTGGACTAGTTTTGTTAGTGAAGAGTTAGGTAAAAAGTGGGTTTCCAAAATTTTTACTAAACCTGGTAATTACTATTGGGTAAAAAGGATGTTTACTGTCGGACTTTTGTGTAGACTTGTATCAAAAAACGTGTCTGAGAGCATTTTCTTACCACAATTATTAGTTTCAAAACAACTTATCATCTTTTTTTGTTTTTAGTGTATCTATTTTCAAAAATGTTACTATGGATTGTTTATTGTATCTATTTTCAAAAATGCTACTATAGATTGTTTATTTTAAAAATTATCACTAAGTATGGATTTTTAAACCATAAATCTTAAAATTCTAAACTCTAAAAAAAGTTTTGACCAATAACAAATCCTAAATCCTCGAAACTAAATCATAATACAACATAATTAACCCAAACATAAATGATATATTGAGTAAATGATTTTGAAAAATTGATAATTTTACAATTTTTTTGAAAAAAAAAATATCATTTTTGAAATGTGGTATTTCAAAAATAACATTTCTTAATTTTTTTTTTATATGCTCCTAGTCCTACGGCTTGCCACACTGCACACTTTGATGTGAAACTAAAACAAAAATGATTTATGAGGTATAATAAAAAAAAGGGAGAATTAAGGATATAGGCCAATTCTAATAACATAATTAAAAGGAATAGGCCAAATTTTTAAAAATTAAAAAACTAGTCCAAATAATGAGTTATTAACCTCCTAAACTGTTATTGGCCTTTCCTTCATTCTTCGTTAGGAAGTTTACCTCTTTATTTATTTTTAATTAGGAATTTAGAAACAAAGATATGATATCCTTTAGGAAGTTTCGTGTATACCCTAAGTTTCGGGTATTTATCAAAATTCCCAGTTATCGATTTGCATAAATAAATCCAAATATTATAATTTGTTGTGATATACAAATGAATAGAAAAATAAGAATAAACGTTTAGTACAAATCAAACAATCCAAATCACACACACATATTTTAAACAAATACAATGGAAAAAGAAGACAAATTAAAACAAATTCGTTTAATTTCTTCGAGTTATTTCCTAACTCCATATATGGCAGCAATATATAGAAGCTGAGTTGCCGAAAGTATAATTAGAAATGCCTCCATTGTCCTCTGCCAAAAAAAAAAAATAGATATCTGTTGAACTATATCTCTGTTGAACTATACCTTTATTTTATGAGAATTTACATTTCATGCCACTCATATATTACCAACATATATATTTTTATACAGATTCATACAAACTCACATATTACCAACATATATATTTTTATACAGATTCATACATATTTAAATCTTCCATAAATGTTTATGTATCGTCCATAAATAGTGATAAAAATGCAATCTTATGTGATTATAAATATAACAAAAACTGCCACAATTATTTTTAACATGAATCAATTATATAAGCTTTAATGTTTGGTTTGAGAATTACATTTACACCATTTTTTTGGTATTATATGAACCACATCAAAATGATACTCCTTATAATAGGTTTTTTGGTTTTATGAAAAAAAAAAACTTTAACGCTGCGCATGGCATGTGTAACCTACTTATTTTTTCAATGAGTATTCTAATCTAAGGACAATGTGAAATAAAAAAAATACACACAATGTGAAATAAAAAAATACTCACCAGACGAGCATTTCTCATTCCAAGTTCAATTTCCTTGCACCCAAATCTACACAAGGAATTTTTTTTTTCTGTTACAATCTATAGAATGATATAAGATTATTGAATATTAAATCACAAATTAATGTTGTTTTGTTGTCTTACCCCATGGCTAAAAGTGTGAGCGACCAAGCAATGGTGGCTGCAGATACAGCTGCTGGAAGACTTGTCGTAGTCCATGACTGGAGATGACTAACGCCAGATATAACCGAGGCCGCTCCAGCAACCCCGGCAATTAAAGCGAACATCACGAAAAATCCGGTGGCCGCATTGCCCATTGGAAAATATATTGGCGAGAAATGAGCCGGAAGACTAAAATCCGCGCCTTGAATTGTTAAAAAAAAAAAAAAACTCTTTAAGATGTTATCTAGAAGCCAGATATATTTTGCAAAATATAAAACAAAATCAGTTTTGATAGTCGATTAAACTGTTAGACAGATGATTAACCAGTTAACTAGCAATTATAGTAGTATAGGCTTACAATAATCTCTTTCCAAAAGTACTATCCGTATATACAAAACAAAACTATACTCACATTAACCTTGACCTTAAATTTTGCTAGCCTGCATATTTTATTAATGCTACAAAAAATGGATATCTCTAATGAAATCATATATATTTAAGAAACCTTAATTTTGCTTCATATATAGTGCCCCCATCCTGTATCATGCAATTTTAGAAGTTGTTTTCACTCATAAATTTTGTTATGTTTTTTAGTTCGACACTAAATTGATAAAAACATAAAATACATATTTTCCGAGGCAAAAGCGATCAAGAATTTAATACCAAGAAGGCAAAACAAAGAGAGAAAATGAAACAAATCAATTACCAATAAGAAAGCCATGGTTGATGGCTTTGTTCATGGACCATGCTCCAATTCCGAGAACAATAGCGTACATACAGAAGTTCAGGACTAAAAGGAAAGAGGCCACCGGTTTCATAGTTTGTTGCTCCGCCATTTTTTCCGGTCACTGGAAACAAGAAAAATCCAGAAATATACTTCTAATTTGGATCTTTAATAATGTTGGTTGTGGGATATTTTAAGAGCTAACGGTTTATATATAGCTTAAAGAAAGTTTAAGTTGATGGTGCTTTTCTTGGTTAAGGCTGTTTGGTTTTTCTTGATTCTTCTTAAAGGCAATTTAATTCTTCTTCTGCCATGTTGTAAAGGTGAGTTGCTGATTTCTTACAAAGAATCCATAGTTTGCTTCATTCAGAGGGTACAACTAAATATTTTAAAAGGTAATACGAATAATTTTAATTAAAATCACTCGCATACTTAAAAAGATTCTTTGGTTCATTGAATTTCCTTCCCATTTTTCAATTGTTTTATGTAACCTTGAGAAAAATGTTTTGTATCATAAGTACATACATAAATATTCATTCATAAGTATATATAGGAATAAAAATAGATTTCTGAC